AAAAAAATATTGTCTAGAAGTGTTTTTACAAAGAAGAAATTACAGCTAGAAGATGAATCAGGTATTACACAAGGAAATCATTCACTGGCTAGAACAAGGATCTACTTTACACCCATAAAACTTCACTGAATTTTTCTGCATTTTTTGAAGTTTTCTCCAATGAAATACTAGAAGCTCATTTCTGCTACTCTATGTCCTAGACAGTAAACTTGTGCAATCTTTCCACTGAAGCTTTGATATAGTCCATGACTGTGACTCTTGGGGTGGTTATAAAAAGGATTTGGTTGCATTTTGTAAGAGATCGCTTGTGTTTTTCAACCCTGAAAAATTTCCATGCTTGTCTCCTGTATTTAAGAAGTTATGAGGGCTCAAAAACAGTGGATAAATAAAAGCACCCAATTCTTTGATTCACTTTGAGGGTCTGTAACTTGGAAATTTTAAAAGCGTGAAAGTTACATTTTGCATGGATTCTTCAAGTAGACTAAAGTTATTGTACAAAATAAGCAATTCGATTCTGATGGGGTTCGATTTGACTGACTTTATATGACACATATGTTATAACAAGTGTCCTTATGTACTATATGTAGTCACAATAGGACAAATAAGTGTACTATAGTCACCAAAAAACAAGGGTCAGTTAATCTGGTTTGTAGATTTGGTTACCCATTTAGATTTTTCATATGTGATTCCCAGATTTGTTGAGAAATCTCCCTTCTCTTAAATACAATGGGACTAAATGGCAATTGGCTTGTGGTGTTCACATGTACCAAAACATACAACTGAAAAACTCAATCATTACAGATTTTTTTTGAAAGAAATCCCTGATAAATGTTTTTTGGTAGGAACGATTTCTCCGCTCACTGGATAGGTACTACAGACAGAACATTTTCTCCTACCTTATAGGAGTTTGTGTTTTTCCTTACTGAGCTGCTTATTGTGTTATATTCAGCTCTACACATGTTCTATTTTATTCAGATTTATATTTATCGAGCTCATTTTAAGCATATTAAACTGTGCCCCTTCTTTGTGTGTCTTTTTAAACCTGTTGAGCCTATTGTGCTTTTTTATGGCTCTTCTTCTTTGCTATTTTGTTATAGGCCGTGCTTAATATTTTGGCTGCTGTCATACAGGATACCCACCACAACCATCGCCACCATTACCGCCACTTTTGTTTTGTTTTAGGTATAAAAATATCCCATTTTATCTCTGTTGTATCTTACGCTAGACAACCAAAAGAAGTGAAGCTAGTTTCAGCTTAGCCAAGCGCGACGCCATTAATATTTACATCCTGTCACGCTCTCCTGAGCACGAGCCACTCATCACGAGCAGAGGTATGCTCCCTGCTGCGGAGTGATAAGATTGAAGGGTGTTGGTAGAAAGAAAATAGTTCCTAAATGAAACCGCTTACTGCAAGGTTTGTGGATATTTTGTAGTAAAAGGGTCATGATTTTTTAAAATGTATTTTTGTGACGATTTGAGCGCCACAAGGTGAGTGCCATTTACTTCCATTATATTCAAGAGAAGGCCGACATCCCTAGCAGCGGAAATCTTCAAAATTGGGCAACTCGCGCCAAAACAGTCTAAATCAATAAATAGCACCGCAGACCAGGGGGAAAATATACGTGTGATTTAATAAATGTATTTATTTATTTCTGTAATTTCTTTTTTGTAGTGAAGTGGCCTTACAAAAAACGCCTTAATGGAAAACTGTACATCCTGCAAAGTTGTTTTGTCAAGCGAAATGTATTTTTTAAAGCATCTATTGAGCTGCAAAAGCTCAGTTTAGCCCATTTTTCTATTTGCAGTAGTGCTCTTATGATTGAGCACTTCCCACTTGATTGTGCTCTTAATTGAGATATATTTAGAAATGCTAAAATCGTGTCTTGGCCGGTGAACACATGAACCTCCCCAAATATAAGTCTGACATGATTAGCAGCAGATCAGCGGACCACACAGATCAAGTTTTCTTTTCAAGATAGGAGAGGCTCTCGCAATGTTTGTGCCCACCAGCAAAACAGTTACTCTGAGAAAGTTTAGTTACAGGCTGATATATTTTTCCCCTCCCAAATATCGCTATAGCTGACATTTGGGGAGGTCATAGTGTTTTAAACTGGATTACAGACTCTGAAATGACCACTGAGTTGAAGTGTCAAAAAATGAAAATAATAACCTTTATAAAGGTAGGGTTCATAGCAGGGATGCTGTATTAGATTGAGGTTTTAATATTAGAAGCCTCGACTAATAATAATAATAATAAGGATAGTCCTGCGGTAGCATTTAATCGTGAGGTATTAGTGGTAGAAACAGCAGGATGTAATAGAAGCAGTAAAGTCAGGCTGCTATTAACAGAAGTGCCTTAATAGTAAGTGTATGGTGATTGTTGCAGCAGCATTATTCAGTTCATAGAGTTGATTCATAGCCATACTTTAAGTACATTTACATTTGCAGCTCTGTTGGACGCACAAAAGAAAATACATGCATATTATTGAATTTATCATAAGCATAGTAGCTGTAGGCTTAATAGGGACATATTAAGACACATGCTAATTTGCCCTGGCATGACACTTGAGTTCACACAGTTACTCACATTTAATTAGCTATTGTAATAAGCCGTGATCTGTGGTTTACACGGTTTTAAAGGAAGCAGCGAGCCTAACTGGATGCTTTCGCAAATATAAAGATTTATTGATTGACTCCCAACCCGCAGTCAACCTATGACTTTGCAGCTGTTAATCACGGGGATTATGCAGATGCACAAATAAAACATCAAGCTTATTAATAAACTTGAACGCGCTCGCCCCACCGGAGCTCCTAATCCCCCCTTTCTGCCATCTTCCTTTTGTTTAGTTTTTTTGTCGGAGTGTGGCACTGTTTTTTTCTTTCTTTCGTTCGTTCTTTCTTTCTTTCCTCCCCTTCTCCCTTTCTGCTGGGGACTTGTGAATGGCAGCCAATGGGAGGGTTGAGTCCCCTCAGCCTCTCAGCCTCCCTGACATCCACAGCGAGAAGTGATGCAGCGCGACTGAGACGCGCAGTTGAGGTGGAACAACGGGCAACAAAAAAGCTGCAGCGAACGGATACACACTTGGCTCCGACGTGCGCCTTCGACACGCCGGGAACATTTCCTCCCTAGAATAAACTTCATTATCAGGTGAGCTTTGCTTGCAACTTCTCTCCGCCGGTGGGAAATTGTCTCATTTGTGCCCGATTCGCCGCTCGAACAGTTACTTCTTGTCTTTGCGGCGCGCTGTATTGTCCGAGTCGGGGTTAATTTATATTGGAAAATGACCAAAGCGAATTAGTCGTGTCGCCTTTATAAGACGGTTTACTCTTGTATGGATTGTAATGAAATCGCAAGTGGGGCAAAAAAGAAAGAAAGAGAGAAAGAAAATCCATATTTGGAGGAGACTAATTAGTGGGGTAACTTCGGGCTTTGAATTGGAAATGAGTTTGAATCGAAGTTATTTGTATGCACGTCCAGAGCCTGCTCATTCAACTTATATCGGGGGTCAATCGGTGGCCAGTGGGTTCTTTAACTTTTCTGTTTCGTAAAAGGGCTCTGTGCGCAATTCTCATTCATTTCTGTGGATGTAGAAAGGAAGCGTGCTCCTCCCGGTACAGAGGTCCTCTGCGACGCATTTTCCCTTCTTTTTTGCCCTGTGATGCGATCATGCAGGCCTGGGCTCTCAACGCACCTTTGCCTTTTATTCTGTCGCGTATGAAACTTCACCCCAACCCAACCCCCCACCCCGACGCTCGCGTGAATCTATCTGTGAAGATTCCCTTTTTTTCCGCCCCTCTCCACCGATGATCGCGCTGAAGCCAGTGGCAAATCCACGGGATGCGAATCGATGCAGGTGGGACAGCATGCTCTGATAAAGGCGGATGACTGTCTATCTGCGGCCGCCTGCAGTCGCACTGTGATGCTCTGCTGCCTCTTCTTTTCTTTTTTTTTTGCTCTGCTGTTAGGGATCAGCTCAAAGGCCTTGCTTTCTTTTCCTCTTTCTGGGGGAGGGCACTCCTGGAGTTGACTCAAGTTTTCTAAAAACAACATGTCCTCCAGCGTTATTGACAACAAGATGATATCAGTGATGTGGCTGTAAATATTTAATGGATTCGCTGAATAATGCAGGCAGGCTATAAAGGGATTAACTTGGCTGTTTTACTCCAAACTTGCAGGTATCGACAGGGTGATGGGGTAGAGGTGTGGTGAATCCAGCAGCCCCTGCACAATCCTGAAAATTGAATTCTGTGCTTGGAAAAGTTTCGCCATCCTTTCCTGTTTGTCTGCAGATTGCTCCATGTTAGTTATTGCTCTGGCTTAAAGTAAGCCTGAGGTAATATGCCTGAAGGCAGCCAAGAAGTTGTTTGGGGGAGTTGTCAAACTACCCGGGGAATATTCTGCAATAAGCACGCCTCTTCACACATGCTTTTAAAATTACAAACAAGAGCTCCTCTTATCCGAAGATAAGGGAGAAAAAGAAAGAAAAAAGCTTTACATCTGAAAATAGTGGGTTAACTTCGCTGCTTGCCTTTTTACAGGAACAACTTCCCACCTGTTTCTATATCGCACAAAGCAGCGTGGTGAAAGGAGATTGTCTTAACCAGAATAGCTTCTGTGGTCCAGGTTTTTCATTTGCTGGTTTGAAGTTTTGAGATGAAAGGGACAGAGTCGAATCTGTGGCTGATCAAAGTCAAGCAGAAAACATGGCAGGTACTGAATATTTAAAGGCTCTGCAAACAGAGTCTGCATGTGTGCATGTGTGTGGGGATCATACCGTACATCATGTATGTGTTTATCGCGCCGGCTGCGCTGGAGCTTCGCATGAAGACATTTTTAAGCGATATTGCTGAACTGGTTTGACAGGCGGAGGGGGGATAGACATATTCCAGCCATCAGCATTTTCTAAAGCAGAGCTCAGATTACAATAGACAGCCCCTCACATTTCATCTCCCTCTTCTCCCACATATATCTCTCCTCTGTGGGGCATGTGCAGCAGCTCAGGGGCTATTCCAAAAAGCTCCAGTCTCACTCTGCCGGCCGGCTCCTGCCTGTCCCTGTGAGCGCTGACGTCACCGGATGGTGGGTTTACCCGATGGCCAGACGACGATGACCGGTGACCCGAGCTGATTACATTATTTGTGCTCCAGATGGGCAGCATCATTTTGATGTGTCCTGCTCGTAATATTGAACGGTTCTAGCCCTCTCTGCAGTGGCATCTGGAGCTAATAAAATCACATCCCAGCGGTCTGTGCTGAAGCACCCTCCGATCCCCTATGGTGATCTCTGCGGCCCTCTTTTCCTCTCCTGTGAGCGTGTTTGGATACTTGTGGGCATTTGTTGAGCCTGCGCACGGCGAGTGGCTCTAATGTGTGTGTGTGTCCGTCTGTGTGTGTGTGCCTCGCTTACGAATGTTTGAAGTCAGAGGCAGAGAGCACCCCTGGGCATTGTAGTTCAGTAGATGCACCTTGATTGTTTGAGTGCATTAGTCACGGTCTGTATGATGTGATAATAAATCATGACGTTGTTTGTTCTGCGAGTGCTCCGGGATTCCTCCTAAGATTTTCTTGTGCCAAATATTTATCTGGAGTTGCTTCTTTCAGTGCCAGCCAACTAGGTCTCTCTGTTTTTCTTCTCTTTTTCTCTTCCTTTCAAATCTGAAGTCCCACCCACCCCCTTCCACTAAATACGTGACGCTGTCTTTTATTTCTCCAGGCTTCTTGTGACCATTAGAGCAAATTTTCTGCTGCCACAATGGCGACTTCTTAACTTGCTCCTTTACTAATGAGACAGATTCCCTTCAGAGACGCCTATTTATGGAGCCGTCAGATCCGTAATTGCATGGAAACCAAAATAAGACGAGACGCGCGTTTCTCACCCACAGACTCGCAGAGAAGGCAGGGATTTGTGACGTCTGCTTCTGGTTATTAGATTCGTATTGTCAGGGTCCGCCCTCACCTTGCCTCTGAAGGTCAACCTGAGTCTCAGAGTGAATTTGCTATGACTAAAAAAGACACAAGAATTAGATGGGATACAGTTAAGCCACGCGAAGGCTGCTTCTCGACAGGTTTCAGCTGAAGGGATTTGCGAGCTGGGCGATGGCCAGGAGGGTTGAACATCCCCATAGAGTCTGTATAAATCCCTCTGAAAAAGGCCTATTCTCCACTCTGTGTGCTGAGAAGATAAATCCACACAGATCTGACAATTTATACCTCACTTAACAATGACTAATTATCACTTCCTGCTTCGTGTAGGAGAACACCAATTACACAGAAATATACTCCTAAATCTGTTTTCAAAGTGGTTGGACAGAGATGTGTTATGTGTATGTGTGTGTGTAATGTAATGCACATTGCTGGATGAAGCTGATAGTACAGAGCGCATGAACTTGTGATAAAAGACGAGTGCAGCTTTTTACAGTATGGCACAGTAGGACGGATGTGACTATGAAATCACTTAGATTCGTGTCTTTGGGGTGGGAGACGGAGTAAATCACTGCCAATGTTGAATAACGCAGTCTGCCAACAGTTTTTTCATTTTTTTCCTTTTTTTTTGGTCCCTCTTCCCCCTCAAACTGTGGCTTGGCTCCACAGCTTTTCTAATTATGAAGTGGCTGAGAGATAGCTTCACAGCTCCGACACTATGTGGTGGTTGAGCTAACCGAATGGCAATCTAACTGAATTACCAACAAAGCCTGACAGACTTGTGGAGTTTAGCGAACGTATTTTGCAAAAAGTAACATCCTCACCTTCCTGTTCAGCCACGAAATGTAGACACAGATGCACAGGCGCAGGCTCACACACATATGGAAAGAGGCGCGCACACACACACAAGCACAAATGCTAGCAAACAAACACAGTACAAAGAGCGAAGGTGTACAGTTCTCCGCACGCTTCTCAGCACAATTTAACAAGATATATTAGTCACCCAGGAGGCAGCAGAAAGCCCGGCATCCACAGTGTGCAGCAGACTGCAGTCTGACAGTGGGAGATAGTGATTTACAACAAAGCCCCGTAGACCATGGCACAATTTCAGAGTTGCGGAAATGACACTGGTAAAGCAGGGGCATGAAAGTCTATCCACCAGCCACGTCTCATTTCTTACACCATTTGCCCTGGGATGGGGAGGGTGGAGAACGACGGGGCAGATGACAAATCCACTATTGTAGGTACCACACAATGAGTCGAGCCCAGGAGTTGAATTCTTTCCTGGATGTCATCGAAAATATGAGCGGAAACTGGATGGAGCCCACCTTCAAGGACACTGAACATTCCTTGGTTCTTAAATTTGAGGTGAAATCGATTTTTTGACCCAGCGAGCATACCGTTAGACTGCGGATTGGATTTTGAATTAAATCTCTATATCCAGTATGTGGGTGGGTGGGGGTGGAAAACAATAATCATCTAATAGTGGAAATCACAGATCCAGATCACTATCAAAATCTAATCAACCCTTCTCAGGCTTGAGGCTGATCTCTCTGGCAAATTTCATGGAAATTTGTTCGTGGGGGTTTCAGACACCACGCTGCCATACAGATTAAGTGACAGAGGTGAAACTGTAGCTTCCTAGAGAGGTGAAAATTCGCCCACACATTTAAACCCCAAAATGAGTGCTATTTAGTCAAAACTATATCTTGAGAGGATCTTGCGTTCTGCAATTACTAAAAACTATGTCATTTAAGAAAACTTGGTTAATCACAAGTAATTGTTCCATCCCTGGATGAATTCTTAGATTCTGTAATCTAGCTCCTTTGCCGGTATTTAATTCAAAAAAAGCCATCGTGTAGGTAATGTCTTGTATGATGTGTGTGTTTCAGCGCTGCCTTTGAGGTACCTGGCTCAGGAGCGAGAGTGCGAGTGAGTGCAGTAGACAGATCGTGTCCGCAGGTCCTGCCTTTCCCTTCTAGTTGGATTCCTGTCTGAGCAAAGCCCAGAGGCTTAACTCTGACTGCAGTAAGAGGACTGAGGAACGCTAAACACTGTCTGGGGGAAGGCTGCTGAACATGACAGCTAGTTAATAAGTGTATGGAAGACGAGCTTGGAGGGGTGGAAGGGGTGGGTGGAGAGGGGCAAAATTGTCTGTCTGACTTTTGAGACTTTTGTGAAAGCAAAGGGAGGAAGAGGGGAGGATTGGTCAGGAGGTGGGTGGGT